AGAAAAAGCGAATGGCAGTTTCCGACATCACAACAACTGTGGCTCCACTCGCTCCAGTAAACACGAACGTGCCCGTACCACACACATTGGCCGGCCCATCGATGACAGCGACGAAAGAAAACCTTTTCCCGCCATCACTTTCAGGTTTTCAAGCTCAGAATTTCTCCGTGAATCCAACCATGAAGAGGTCCCAGGAACAGACCATGATGAACACGTTCAACAACTGTCAAGTGTCTTTCATCATTGGCCGCTCGAAGCGAGCTTCGGAGATTTCAAAACGACAGCCCAGTTCTTGTAAACGCCGAGCTTTCATTATTGAGGATGATTCTGATTGAACTTTTACTTTTCCGGATTATTGTAAAGCGAGTTTTCTTTACATAAATGTAAAACGCTTGAAAGGTGTTAAATCAACCCTCAGACATTTCCAAGGTCTAATTTGAATGATTTTGAAAGTGTCTGTCTTGTAAAAGTTTGCATTTGACAAACGTTGTAATCTGTTTCAGCCAATCAGTTGAATGAACTAAAAAAAGTGCGCGCTGTCAAAATTTTTTTGTTGTAGTTATTTTTTTCGTGTATATTATTAATAAGTAATCACATGAATTTTCTCGTGCAATTTGGAATAAATAAGAACTTGTAAATTTTTCAAAGACCACAAAGTGCACTCGCTCTAAGGGCTCGTGCACTTTTGTTGGTCTTAGAAAAGTTTACTCGTGCTTATTTATACCAAATTGCACTCGAAATCATGTGATTACCTATACATATCGCATTTAATAGAGCCCTTGTCCCTCCTACTTAGATATTAAGAAAGAAGCTGCTTAGCCTTGACTTCCACAGGCATTTAGACCTTCTATAAGCATCGTATGTCCTAAGGGCACCAAATCTGGGGTCCTGTTTCGTTTGACACAACTTCCCGACACTGAAATTACGCGGAAAAAGTAGAAACATGGCTTAAAAAAACAGAAATACTAAAATGCTGCCTGCTAGAAGTATTGACGTAGGACGTTATCTAAAGGGTTTTTTATCTACATCTGCGTTATTGGAAGGACTATAGTAATTCCTAGATTAAATGTGGAAGACTGGCATAGATTCATTTGTTAATCACCGAAATTATCCAGGGCAGGAACGGGCTAAAAGCAAAGCAAACAACTAAGGTGTATGTGAAACCTAACCAAAAGACAAACTAGAAGCTCTATAGTGGTATTCAGAAATAACTGAACTTTCTTGTGATTATAATTTTCATTTATTTACTAATATATATCAGATACTGCCTTTCACTAAATTTTCTGTCAGGATAATAAAAAGTCATTTTTTTAACTGTTATTTCTTTTATTGATAATAAGGAACATAGAAATTTTCGGTAGTAGTATATTGGCATATTCATATTATTGATCAGAAGTACTTACTTCCAGAATTTGGCCTCGAAGACTATTTGTTTTGTTATACAAACAATTCATTGCGCATTTGCTGATGAAAGCCTTTTACTCCCGTGTCTATGAAGCCTTTTTGATTACTTAATAATCAAGAATGACCAAGAAAAGTTAACTAATCTTAAAATACATTTAGCGTCAAAGATCGTCAAACCACAATTTGAAGATATAACACGGAAGGTTTATTATATTAATTAATCAGTAAATCAGTGTCGCGCTCGAGTGTACATGTGTTCTATCACTGAAGAGGATGTCATATTCATTTTGTTAACATACCGGTAATTTGTTATAAAAGCAAACTATCCTAACGTAGTGGAGTCGTCCTTGTACTCCCTTAGCTCAGCAAGGGCAGATGCTAGTCCGTTGTGAAGTTCTTGCAATGGCATATTTTTTCTAATAGTAGAAAATGACACAGCCTTCCCGTGAAGTTTGCCCTTTACTTCCCCATAAAAATGGAGAAAGTAAACACCCTCGTCGACAATCAGTTCACCCGTTTCATGGTTGTAGGTGTAAAGGAAGATTGGAGCGCCCGAGGATCCAGGGCAAGTAGCAATCGAGTGTTCGACGAATGGGTCTTTCCCTCCAATCATTCCTCTGTCATTCTGACCATAGCTCAGGTTAAGATTGTAAACGTGGACGAGGTCACTTTCTAGTCCTCCAAACGACACTTGCTGGCTTTTGCTGTGAGGATGAGAGATGCTGAAAAGCCTAAGTGAATGAGGATAACGATCAGGGAATCCGACTGAAAAAATTCTTAGAAAGTGTTCTTGTAAGGTAACGGGTTTCATCTCTAATGGTTTCACATTTATAAACTTAGCTTTCTGCTCTTCATTTTGTAGTGGCTTCAAGTACAAAAATGCATAATCTAAGAAAGCATCCCTAACGTTGAAATACGAATCGAGGAAACTTAAAGCTTCTTCAGCTTTTCTAATATATGGCGAATCTTTCGTGCCATCTCCATGTAACGCTTTTTTCATAGTATCTCGTAGAACGTTTTCCTCTTTATTCTTGTCTGGAGGCGATACTTTTTCAATCCTCTCTACTTCGTGAGTAACCTGTGCTTTGCCCAATCCCCTATCATCGTAAAAAGAAGTAACTCGAACATCGCGTGGTTCGACCATACTAAAATCAATCCCTTTACCACTGCTCGTCCTTCTTATGCTGTGTGAGTTGGTAATTACAGCAACGTCGTTGTTTACTTGAACAAGGAAGCCTGTGCCGTAGGCCTTCTTAACTGTAATACAAACCACTGCGTCGGAAAACGTTTTTAGACATTGCACTCCTTCCTCTGAACTGAGGAGTATTTGATCTTCATAAGCTAATCCTTTTTTGTTGACAAAAGTTTCCTTTTCTTCGCTCGATAAATCTTTGAAGCGGAGACGGTTCGTTTTTAGATCAGCCTCTTCTCCTTGAGTATTCAGTATTCCTGACTCTTCCTCGTACTCCCACTCACTAACAAAGCTGACAACTTCATCGTTGGAGGCCATGTTAAGCCAAGACTGCCAGATAGAAATGCTGCAATAAATTTCGATCAACTATTATTTATTTATGAGAGCTCAACAGCCAATGGTGATCATGTTTTGGCGGTACCACGGAAACCAGTGTTAATGTGACGTAATTTAAACATCTTTCATTGCCTTAAGAGCGGATGTCTGTAAATATCGACCAGAGTTGGGAAAAATAAAATTTTCGAAAAATCCCAAAAAAATTATGTAAACTACCCAAGGTATTCTAGTAATGAAAATATAAATTTTAGTTTCATTGGATAAATATTTTGGCGATACGGCGAATGTCAAGTTAAGGCGATTTACGGCCTCCGCCAGACCGCTTTTTCGGGCCTTTAGACCGGGCTACGAAAAGACCGCGATTTCAATCGAATTCAAATGTCATCCAACCCAGAAAGTTTCTTATCGTATTAAAAGGGTTTTAATACAAACATTGAGTGGTCATGTTCTTGAATTGATTTTAACTGAAATATTTTATGGATTTTTAAATATTTACAAAATTTTAAGGATTTTACGCGAGCAAAATATTGTCAAATTTCAAAGGCCTAAAATTACATCTGATACATGATTTCAAACAGAAAAAGACATTCCACATTAAAAAGCAATCTCTAAGCTTCCAAAATATGCTTTCAAAACTCTGGGAAACATATAAAATGAATTTTTGGGAACACACAATTCACGGGGCACTTGAGTGTAATTTGACCTTTCTGACTTGAGAGTTAAGAGGTCTGGAGCGACATAAATCAATTCTCCAACAAATGTTTCAGCCAAAATACGTTTAATTTAGGCAATCTCAAGTCCCACAGTGATACAAAGATGCTTCGTATACATTAGGTGGGAAGTTTCATACCATTTTGGCAGCTGTAAAGAACTCTTTTTCTTCAGGTGCAGTATTTGAACTCTCGCCCCACCAATGTAAACATGTGCGTCAAGTGCTTTATATCAGACCTTATCACGAAACAACGAAGTTTTCAAAAGCTACACCAAATATCTACCCTGTGTAGTATATAATCAGGTCTGCAATTTGATTGTTTGTACCTTGTGTCCTTGTTTGACTTCATTTCCGCAATGAAACTGAGACAAACCACAGCGAAATTCCCGCGCACTCGATATGTCACGAGTCACGGGAATGGGTCGTTTTAGACTTCATTGCGTTACGTAAACATGACACACAGCGATTATTTCTGAGTTGTGAAAAAAAATTCCTGTCATTAACTTACATGTTGTGGTTATGCTATTGAATGAGCCGACAATCTCAATATTTTTTTTCCATGCGGTTTTACCATCACAGACTTGTCGGATTCCCGACGAAACCAAAAAACTCGTAGGACTTAAATTTCTGAGCCCTGAAAGTTTTCCGTGAAGGATTAAATGATTTTGCACGCCAAAAAATAGAAAGTAAATGTTTGTGGTTGATTCATCATACCATCTGCTGAATTTATCTTTTTTTTGCATCTGACAGTCTGAACTGCGCTGCTAGCATTGTACGCGCGCGGTACTACGCCAATCAGATCCAATCAGATTGTTTTGAATACCCTTTGAAATTCCTACTTAAATCAAGCTACCAAAACTGTCTAAACATATTTCTTCTATTTTCCAAATTTTCCTATCCTCAAAGAAAACCCGTAATGAAAAATTCCAAAACAAAAAAGAAATCTCGTTATCATCTCAGTAAGTAGCTCTCCCCTCCGCTCCAAGCACCCCCACCCCTTAGGGCCGGGCCTACGGTTAAACTTTATTGTTTGCGCTGTTCTTTTTTATCGTTGGTAGTAGTTCAACATTTCTCCCACTTCCTCTGTTTGTCCTGGTTTCAGTCAGTTTGGGAATATCCTCATTCTGCAATTCTACTGCAATATGTTGTATATAGCCAGTATAAAGCAAAGTAGGGGAGTCCTACCACGGTCTTAACTTGCGCTTGCGGCGTCAATATTTATAGATTCTTGAACCGTCTTGTTTTACTAAGTTTACTTCAGTGCTGAAAATAAGCAAGCATCATTACCAGGTAGTACAATTCTCCGCGCTTATGTGCGACGACGATACAGCGTGCCAAAATGGAGCGTTCGGTGGTTGGGTGGTTGGGTGGGTGTGTCTCTGTGTGTGTGGGGTGATCAGTGTGGTTCAAGTAATAAATAACCGAGCACACAGTAAGTGCACATGGGAGAGAGCAACCGATCAGTTGAGCGCCACTTCACAGTTAATTCTGTAGCATGCCATCTGACTGACATCCGCTGAGAGAGAGAGAGAAGACTACAGTGATCCCCAGGGAGAAGGGTATATGCAATCGTCAAGCTGCAACTATCCAGGCGCACGTTGGTTCGCCGCAATATCAGAGGGCTATAATGTAGTTTGCGCATCAAAGAATTTATCATGGTTTGGAACTTGCGTAGGTGCCTGCTCTTGCGCATCTTCGAACTCATTAGAAGAACCAGTGTAACATGAACAAACCGTTTATCCCCCCCTCCCGCTAGGTTTTTCCGTACTTTGACGCGCGAATAAAGGTTCCAGAGTAGTCCCCCCTCATCGTAGTAATCATGGCTTTTTTGTGGGAGCGAAAGAACAAATGTCGAGGACGCACGAAGAGAGAAAAGGCGAGGAGAGAAAAGGAGAGGAGGCCTCATCTCCCCCTTCGCGTGTGCCGCTTGCGCAGCCTGTGATCTGACCGGCGCTTGCTACGTAGGATAGGCCAATCAGCACACGCTCATTACAGATAAATCAACGTTGGAGATCGGTATTTTTTATCATAATTTTTACCAGCCTTGTGACTACAATAGTGCAATTGTGGACAGCTTAAAGTGAGATTTAACACTTACCTAGCCTACCGGCGGTTTTGCATTGCCAATGCGCGCCGGTACCACACTCGCCTAAAACCAGATCTCCATATTCGCACGCTGTTATATCGTCGTACAGTGGCAAGTAGACGTGTACTAGCTTAGACCGAGTGCACTATCAAAGACAGGTGTCGCAAGCGCAGGATCGGACCGTAGCAGGATTTTCTAACTCGACATCTAATCTGCTTATTTATTTACATGTAATTCAGGAGGTATTTGCACATGATAGGCCATAATAGCGTGTTGCAGAATTATTGCCAAACGCATTAGGTTATTTCCTGACCTGACAGATCTATCAGGACGGGGGAAAAGTGTTGAACCAAAACAAACAACAAAAGACAAAACAAAAAAAACAAACAACATGAAAGAACACGTTATTTACAAAAAATGTATATATCGCTGTATCGCGGTTAGACACGCTCGGCGATCGGTAAACTGTATGGTAAGAAAAAAAAGAGAGACCGAGATTGTCTGCTCATTCCATGGCATATCTATAATATGTAGGTTACAGGTGGATTTTTTTTTTTTACACAAATGAGAAATAATTGCTGTGTGTCATGTTTACGTAACGCAATCAGGCCTAAAACGTCCCTTTCACGTGACACGTGACATATCGAGCGAGCGGGAATTTCGTTGTTGTTTGCATATCTCAGTTTCATTGCGGAAATGAAGTCAAACAAGGGCACAAGGTACAAACAAACAAATTGTACACCTAAATATGTACTAGACAGGAGAGATATTTGCTTAGATTTTGAAAAGTTTGCTGTTTCGTGATAAGAACTTGACCCACATGTTTACATTAGCGAGGCGAGTTCAGATACTGCACCTGTAGGCCAGGATAAGAGTTCTTTACGGCTGACAAAATGTATCAAAAGCTTTGTATCACTGTGGGACTTGAGATTGCCTAAATTAAACGTATTTTGGCTGAAACATTTGTTGGAGAATTGATTTATGTCGCTCCGAACCTCTTAACTCTTAAGTCAGAAAGGTCAAATTACACTCAAGTGCCCCGTGAATTTTGTGTTCCCAAAAATTCATTTCGTATGTTGCCCAGAGTTTTGAAAGCATATTTTGAAAGCTTAGAGATTGATTTTTAATGTGGCATGTCTTTTTCTGTTTGAAGTCATGTATCGGATGTAATTTTAGGCCTTTGAAATTTGACAATATTTTGCTCGCGTAAAATCCTTAAAATTTTGTAAATATTTAAAAATCCATAAAATATTTCAGTTAAAATCAATTCAAGAACATGACCACTCAATATTTATATTAAAACCCTTTTAATACGATAAGAAACTTTTTGGGTTGGATGATATTTGAATTCGATTGAAATCGCGGTCTTTTCGTAGCCCGGTCTAGACGCCGGAAAAAGCGGTCTGGCGGAGGCCATAAATCGCCCGAACTTGTCATTCGCCGTATCGCCAAAATTTTTATCCAATGAAACTAAAATTTATATTTTCATTACTAGAATACCTTGGGTAGTCTACATAATTTTTTTGGGATTTTTCAAAAAATTCATTTTTCCCACCTCTGGTCGATATTTACAGACATCTGCTCTTAAGTGATTTAGTTGTAATAATTCAATTTCGGACAATTTGTTTCTATATTTTCACTATCGATATTCAGAAACTAACCCCTTTTTCTTTAACGAAAGTTTCCTGTTCTGGGTTTGATAAAATTCGCTATGAAGAATATCGTTTATCGAATATAACGCTGTCCCGCGGGGGAGGGAGGGGGGGGGGGTTACTCCCTAGGTATGCGCGACGCCGAAGGGGATGGTTTTTTAGCCCTTTTGGTCTAAAATAGGGTATCAATTTTGACCATTTTGGTCTGAAATAGGTTATGGTTTGTGGACTCTAGGCTTGAGTTGGGTCTGTTTTTTTATTAGTTGGGTATGTTTTTTATTTCCCTTTTAATGTTTACGGCAACCGTGTACGTGCCGTAACAGCTTGTCACGCACTGATTGATTTAAGGTTCAGGTCTGAAACAGGGTAGGGAAAATCACAGATTTTGGTCTGAAATAGGGTAAGGGTTTCAGGAAGCGTGCTG